CTGGAGGGGCCGCTGCCCCGGGCCCATCTCTTCTGCGCGGAAACGCGATGAGCGCCTTCACTCCCCATGACGGGGAGATCTGCCTCCAGCTTTCTGCATTCGTGGAAGGGGGTCTTGTGTGCATGCTTGCCGGGAGGTAAAACCAGCAAGGGGAAAGGTAGTGACTTTTAAATTGCGTTATGCGCAGTATTTTAAGCTGTTCTTGTAGGAGCTGTGAAATCGTGTCCCTCGGGAGATCTCGATAGCGTAACCAGAACGGGGTTGAGAATAGTTTCATCAACAGGTCGGTGCATTCTGATGTCATCAAGGACAGTTTTTCTCGATCTAGAACTAGGAAATCTTAAAATACATTTTTCCCTTTCCTCTCTTTCGGTTGGTTAAACTTTTTCAAATTTGTACAGTCTTTTGAAGATGACACGTAGTGTACCTTAGTTTGTCACAGTTGCTTAGAGACTTATTCCCCGTGTGTGCAAACAGAGGTAACATAATAACAAATATTGCACATAGGGATTTTTACCCATAGTAAAGTTTTTGTAACTAAAAATATCTTTAAAGTTTATTTCCAGTTCTGTAATTGTGTTTACTTGGTTTGTAATTTTATGTTTTTGATAGTTTGGTGGATTAAATGTATTACATTGTTAACGCTTTTACTTGTGATTAACTTGTAGGTTTTAAGACAGCTATGAAAAAAGAACTTCTCTGACTTTTTCGTCATGATGTATTATTCATCTTTGTGTTAACAAGAGTGATGAAAATGTAGGCTTTGGGCAGGTTTAGGCTTGGTAAATTACAGTTTATAGCTTTATCCAGTTTCTTCCTTGCGTGCTAATCTCAATGGTCTGGTTCACAGATTCCTGCTCATTTTCCTTCCCTGCTCATTTGGATGGTCCTCGGTTGTGGAAGGTCTGTGTGAAGGCTGGTCACGTACAGAAACGGTGATAACACAGGGCTGCACGGTTCTTTTCTCTAGTACTTCCGTAGCTTAGAAAGCTTAAGTGGGAAGTACATCTGTGCATAAGGTCTTCTGCACAGTTTGTAGGTTGCTTAATTTAACTGTTGAATGGGCTCTGAGAGGTGTAATTAAAGAAACCAGAGCTCACCCAGCTCGTCAGACTGCCTAGGGAACTGGTCTAACGCAGTGGTTTTCACCAGTGTTATCTGTGGGTTACTGGGGATCCCTGGATCAGGACGTATAGGTTCAGGTAAGACGAAGCACACACGAACCTTTCTGAAATGTGTGTGTTTACAATATTTGAAGGGAAACACTTTTATAATTTTACACGTGAATACACATGTGATTTCTAAGCTCTTTCCAAGCGAACAGCGTGATTGGAATTTGTTCTCCTGTGTACAATTATTCTCTGTGTATAATTTGTTCTAGAGCGTAGAACTGCAGTGTGGCATCATGAGCCTCCCACCTACAGTGTTGGGGAAAAATAGCAGCAGTGCTCAGTTGTCACAGAGGCCTTATCATTTGAATCTCCTCGCAACAAGCTTGTGTGGCATCACTTACCCAGAACATATATTTGATTTGTCACAGATATCTTAAACTTTTCATCTAAGCTGGAATGCCTTACAGTAGGAAAATGAGGCCAAAAGAGACAAATATTCCTGTCATATCAGTTAAGGCCCAGCATTGAAAACCACTTTTTTTTTTCTGTGTTTTTTTTTCTGAAGATGGGAACTGGATATTTCTAATTCAACAAGCCTGAGATGAAGGAAGAGACTTTGGAGGGGTGAGATGGTGCTATTATTGGGCATGTGAGACTCATAAAATCAGTGACTGAATACTGAATCTTAGACGCTCATGTTTTTCTAGCTCTGGACTGGGGAGAGGTGCTTCTGTAGAAGAATTTGAAATTGCCTGTCTACGATTACTTTTGAATGTCAAGGGATAAGTTGTTTTGCATGTTGGAATCTCTTAGTTCCTTCGCTTCGTGCCCTGAACAGTGCATGTCTTGCAAAAGCATGCACAATATGCTGCTTTGAGGTATCTAGTCCAAGTATGAGTAAGTTTGTGGGTGAAATGATGCTAAATATGGGAAGCTTGCCTATTGCCTAATATTCCCATGTCAAATAGCAAGGAGATTAAAGATGAGGTTTATTTTGAGAGCTTTATACATATGTGACAGATACAGAGCTGGTGTACTTGCAGAGAAGCACTTAAGGTGGTTGAGAATTTTACCGTGTAACGGAAGCCAATGCTGAATAGCGTTTTACTTAGCTTCCCTTAACCTACGAAGGTAAGGTGTATTTTTTCAAAAGGGATTATTTATTTTTTCTGGTAGTACTAGTAATTCCTTTTGCACAAGAAGGAGGAGAGTTAGGGGGTGCAGGAAAAAGCGTAGCATCCGTAACATGCTAAGACATATGGTACTTCTACCGCATCTGTTGAATGCTTGAGCAAACTGTTTGGTCAGACAGCTGTTAACTTTTGTCTGGAGACATTTGAAAGAATAGAACTTCAGTGTAAACTCCACTGAATATAAAACTTCATCAACAGTGCCTTTTCAAGTTACTGGAAGTGTTTGACTACTTATGTGCTAAAATAAATTCTCAAATTTAATCTTTTGAATTTCTTGTCTTATTTGGGAAATTCAATAAAATAATTGCTTTGTTTTTCTTTTCTGGTATCTTCACAAATGGTATAGTTCAGGAAGCTGAAGTAATGGATGCACTTTAAAAGCTATGGGACTTTGTAACAGAGTAATGAAAATGAAGAGTCACTATCCTATCCTGGGAAAAAAGCAGTGTACTAATCTTCTTAGCTATATATTTCCTTGCTACTGTTTTTCCATTTTTCTAAAAAATTATACAGTAAACATGATTACTGAGGTGGTCATATCCGGAAGTTCATTTTTTCATTAAAAATGGCTAGTTCATTTTTTCATTAAAAATGGCTAGTTTCTTAGCTCACTAAATACACAACAATTTAAAATTCAGCCTGGAATTGTTCCATAGTGCTCCTAGTTGTTACACGCAAGTGAGCTGGGTGGAGTATTTCATAAAAGCAATATTAAAAAAAAACAACTAACAGCAAACTTCTTTGAGGATTTTAGTTGCATTTTTAGCGTATCTTCACTCATCTCCTTTGCAGCTTCCAGTAGGTAAACTCCACTTCAGAATAAGTAGTAGAATTTCTTCACTTGTTAAATTCACGTCATACAAGTGTCTGTATTGTATGCAGCACAACTGATATTCTACATGTAACGTATCCACAATTTGCATTATGTTTTTTTTTTTTTGCTTTCATTTGTATCTATTTTCTTTTGAAGCTTCTTTGTAAATCAAGAAATACTGTATGCAGAGGAAAATTAAATGTGTTTAGATACTCATTCTTTTTTCTCTCTTCTGTTACAGAAATGAGCCGTCAGACTGCTACAGCACTACCTACAGGTACTTCAAAGTGTACGCCATCACAGAGGGTGCCTGCACTGACTGGCACTACAGCTTCCAATAATGACTTGGCTAGTCTCTTTGAGTGTCCTGTGTGTTTTGACTATGTGCTGCCACCAATTCTTCAGTGTCAGAGCGGCCATCTTGTTTGTAGCAACTGTCGCCCCAAACTTACGTGCTGTCCAACTTGCCGAGGCCCGCTGGGCTCCATTCGTAACCTGGCTATGGAGAAAGTTGCCAATTCTGTACTATTCCCATGTAAATATGCCTCTTCCGGATGTGAAATAACTTTGCCACACACAGAAAAAGCAGACCATGAGGAGCTGTGTGAGTTTAGGCCTTATTCCTGTCCATGTCCCGGTGCTTCATGTAAATGGCAAGGTTCTCTGGATGCTGTAATGCCACATCTGATGCATCAACATAAGTCAATTACAACACTTCAGGGAGAAGATATAGTGTTCCTTGCTACAGACATTAATCTTCCTGGTGCTGTTGACTGGGTTATGATGCAGTCTTGTTTTGGCTTTCATTTCATGTTAGTATTGGAGAAACAGGAAAAATATGATGGTCACCAGCAGTTCTTTGCAATTGTACAGCTGATAGGAACCCGCAAGCAAGCAGAAAACTTTGCTTATCGACTTGAGTTAAATGGTCATAGGCGGCGATTGACTTGGGAAGCAACTCCTCGATCTATTCACGAGGGAATTGCAACAGCCATTATGAATAGTGACTGTCTAGTCTTTGACACCAGCATTGCACAGCTCTTTGCAGAAAATGGCAATTTAGGCATCAATGTAACTATATCCATGTGTTGAAATGGCAATCAAACCTCTTCAGGCCAGTGTTTAAAACCATTGCATTTAATTTAGCAGAAACTAGGGTAACCATCTTTGACTGTCAGACAAATTATTTGGTAGATGGAGGGTAGACATATATGAAGGTAAATAAAAGGAAAGGCTGTTAAATTACAGGAAGCAGTTGCATGTAGTAACACTAATATATTTAAAATAAGTCAACAGTAAACCACTGAAAATATATATACACCCAAAATGGGCATCTTTTGTATTAAGAATTGATTCTACAGGAAATGTTGTAAAATAATTCTAAAAACTCGTTTGTAGATTGATTGTACTGTTGAAAAGGATACTGTTTTGTGTTTTTGTTTGTGTTTTTTTCCTCCCCCCTTTGACTGACAA